GTGTGTGTGTGTGAGTGAGTGAGTGAGTGAGTGTGTGAGTGTGTGTGAGTGAGTGAGTGAGTGAGTGTGTGAGTGTGTGTGTGTGAGTGAGTGTGTGAGTGTGTGAGTGTGTGTGTGAGTGTGTGTGAGTGAGTGTGAGTGAGTGTGTGAGTGTGTGTGTGTGTGAAAATTGAGTGATGACTCATGAATTCATTGCAGGATAAACTAAAACTTCAAAATAAATAAATAATATATATAAATAATATAAAATATAACTATTTTTAAAACGTAATATAAAAAGACAACAAAATTAGGCCTACTAAAAATTTTAAATTAAAGTGAAAATAGAAAGTATACAAAAACTCTAATTCAAAATATTAACAAATCCTATAATAGTATAACAAATAAATAAAAAATAATCAAGTAAAATAAATAAAAAACAATAAAAATTTGTTACTTGAAATAAAATAAACATAAAATATAGAAATATGCATTATTAACATTTGTAATTTAGTATAATTTGAAGTACTAAAAAAATTCAATTGATCAATTAATAAAAAATAATAAAAATATGTAGACATATATATTTTTTTTAATTAATAAAATCACAAAACCACACAATAAAATTACTAAAATGTTAACTAAAATGAAAACAGAAAAAATCTTGAAGTACTAAAAAAATTCAATTGATCAATTAATAAAAAATAATAAAAATATGTAGACATATATTTTTTTTTAATTAATAAAATCACAAAACCACACAATAAAATTACTAAAATGTTAACTAAAATGAAAACAGAAAAAATCAAATCTAATATTATCCAAATGTTCACAAATAATATAATTAATGCTAAAACATCACTGATTGCTTCAAGTTTAGCTGAACAAATGCTGAAGTGAACGACTGCTGCTGATTCTAAATCAATCTCATTTTCTCGTTTCTCTTTCAGATCCGTGAGGACATTTGAAATGGACACCTAAATGTTCATGTAAACGTGAGAGGAAAATATTTATTGTCTGTAAATATTACAATGCGCCCGAACATTGGCAAAGACCAATAACGATACTGCTAAAGTATTATCACAGCTCCACGGAGCCACACATTCGGATCCTTGAGAATACTTTGCTTTGTTTCTTTTTTAGTTGTCCTTTTTATTCTTTGTTTAGGACTATGCCTCTATTACGGTGTATTATTTATTTTGTTTGAATGGTGTATTTATTTTGTAAAGGTATCAAGGTGCTGCTGACCTTCTATATTTTTGTACTATAATGCACTTTAGATATATAAATATAGAAATGTATACATTTTGTTAATGGACGTATTTTGTGGTTGAGTTGAATGAAGACAATAGTCATGCTTGTGTTTGCCCACATTCTGGTTCAGTGTATGTTCAACAGCTTTGGCATCCATGTTTCTGTGACTCTGTCCCAAAACCTAGTGAGCTGCCTAACTAGACGGCATCTGAAGGGAGCGTAGATTCATTCACAGTTCATCATTTTGGCCGAATACGAGAGCAGCTTCGATAATGCAATCACAGAATGCATTATGAAAGGCTCGCTGAAAACAATCAGCAACATTCAAAAACATGTTTAAGGCCTAAATTGAAGATTTGAATTGCATGTAAAATTTCCATCCGTTTGGATTACACAGTTACACAGGTACTCGTGAACTTAACGGGATGCATATTTGGCAATCATACATAAAAGAAACAGGTCAGATTTCTGACCTCAAACAATCATGATATAATTCATTATTAACTATTTGCATTTATTTGTTTCTGTTACAGACAGCTGAGCTGTTTCGTTTATGTATGACTGACACATATGTGTCAAATTTAATAGTTTAATAGTTTATTAAAACTGTATGATCTTAAATGGTTGGACTTTTTTTGATTGAAGAGGAAAGAAATTAAATACATTGCTTGTTTTTAATATCATGATTTTAGTCTCACAATTTTTTCTTGCAATTTTGACTTTGTATCTCGCAATTCTCTCACAATTCTGAGAGAGAAAGAAAATTTGAATTCTGAGTTTGTATCTTGCAATTCTTACTTTTTTTCCAGAGAAAAAAAAGTCAGAGTTGTGAAATAAAAAGTCACATTTGCCTTTTTTTATTTTTAATTTTTTATTCCGTGGCGGACACCAAACAAAACAGAATTGCGAGATGTAAACTCAGAAACTCAGATCAAAAATCAGAAGAAAAAAAATCTGAATCAGAGATTTCTGGGTTTATGTCTCGCAGTTCTGTCTTTTTTTCTCAGAATTATGAGTTTATATCTCACAATTTTAAAAAAAAGTCCAAATTGTGAGATAAAAAGTCACAGTTACCTTTTTTATCCCGTGGCGGAAACAAGCTTCCACAGAATTAAGAGAAATGTCTATTTAAATATATTTCATGCAATAAGTACCCAATATTCGTACAAGTTACATATTTGTATGCTATTTAGCATGTCAAACTCAGGTGTCAGTTGATTCTCCCGTGCACGTCACTGCTTTGTGCACAGAGTTTCTGTTTCAGTTAGGATGCTGCTCACTAGGTTTTGGAGCCGAGCTTTTGTATTTGTTTATTTTGGGTTTCTTTGCTGCTGACCTGGACGAGCCCCACATCATCATCATCCTCATATCAGCCTCCAGCGCATCTGTACACGACCAGCACAAGTTAGAGAAGAACTCTTGTTGTTTTGCACTGAGAGAGAGAGAGAAAAAAACCTGTACTGAATTAATTAAACTTCTGACCATTTCCTGCAGTGTGGGGGATATTTGATTGTGTGTGTTTGTGTGTGTGTGTGTGCGTGAGAGTGAGTGAGTGAGTGAGTGTGTGTGTGTGTGTGTGTGAGTGTGTGTGTGAGTGAGTGAGTGAGTGAGTGAGTGAGTGAGTGAGTGAGTGAGTGAGTGAGTGAGTGAGTGAGTGAGTGAGTGAGTGAGTGAGTGAGTGAGTGAGTGAGTGAGTGAGTGAGTGAGTGAGTGAGTGAGTGAGTGAGTGAGTGAGTGAGTGAGTGAGTGAGTGAGTGAGTGAGTGAGTGAGTGAGTGAGTGAGTGAGTGAGTGAGTGAGTGAGTGAGTGAGTGAGTGAGTGAGTGAGTGAGTGAGTGAGTGAGTGAGTGAGTGAGTGAGTGAGTGAGTGAGTGAGTGAGTGAGTGAGTGAGTGAGTGAGTGAGTGAGTGAGTGAGTGAGTGAGTGAGTGAGTGTGTGTGTGCGTGAGTGTGTGTGCGCGCGCGCGAGAGTGAGTGAGTGTGTGTTTTTCGTGCGCGTGCGTGAGAGTGAGTGAGTGTGTGTGTGTGTGTGTG